TAATTAGTGTACCTGGCCTCAGCAACAGGTAAAAATCACATTTTAAAATAAAAAAAAAAACTTAATGAGAATTCATCTGGGATCAGGAATATATTAAATGGCCACTAGGCAAATATAAAGCATGTGTAGAACTGAATGAAGAAGGCACATGAATCTCAGAGGAAGCTTTTCCAGTCCCTGAATGCCAGGAACCTTGCCCACCGACAAAGACATGAAGCTACTCACATGCTAAATGCGTAAGCAGTTTGTAGAAGTAAATTTGCTAACTTTTATTAAAATGAGATTAGATTTTTTTTGTGGGTAAGGTGATATCCTCATCTTTCATATGTATGCGTGAGGAATTGCTACAGAGTCCCCGACTTACGATGTGTTCGAGTTACAACAAACCGCGCTTATCACCGTCTGTTTTTTTTTGGTACATCTTATCCTCAGTAATATGTATTACATACAGTGTTGCAGTGCGTAATTTGCTGATGTTATCACTCTCATGCCAACCCCTAAAGACAAATAAAGACTGAATTTATACAATTTGCTTTTCTATACACATACGTGGGTATTTTATTGATAATAAGAAGACAATAATAATGAAAACTAAAAAAAAAAAAAGATGTATTCAACTTATGTCAGAACTAGCTTATGTCAGAGTCATGGGAACAGAACCCCATCATAAGTTGGGGACTACCTATATTAGGAATGGCAAGCTAAATGGGAAATAATTTTTACTGTAATTTCTCGGTAGCAAATTAGAGAATAGTGCAAAAATATATCAAAAGATACTACTGGTGTAGCTACAAGCAAATGTGCCAAACTCAAGCCTGATGAAAGGTTTTGCTACATTTCAATCAATGCAAGGCTGTCCAGGCTGTAAATTTGTTTTATAAAGTCAAACACATTTACATCTCTCTTGAGTTATCATGATCATTTTGCAATCCTCTACTCTGGTTGTAGAAACCCACCCTGTTGTTTTAAAAATTAAAATTTAATGTGTTTTTGTACCAACTGCATTTTTTCCTGGAACTCATAAATGATCGGTGGATTTTAGAAGTTCAAATTTAGTAGCAGTATGTAAAGTATATGCTTAAGTTTCATGGTATTAGGAAGAACATCTGCTCGAGATGGTCTTCTGTTTTTCATGGTGTCATCAGATCTTCACATCTGGTGAAACAGAATTTTGAGATGCATCCTACTTCTTCAAGCTTGAATTTTGTCAACCTGATTATATGTTTCATAAGGCAAGATTCATATCCGTGTTTCTCTAGGAGTTAGTTATATCAACTTGTGCAGTGCTTAGTAGATAGCAAATACCTTCGGAAAAAAACCTGTAATATTTCTCATATATCCTGCTACTTCATTTCTTAAAGTTTTCCTGTAGCTTAAGTAGTCTTGGTTTGTTGGGATAGCATATCATGGAGAAATAAAGCAGTCTTTAGAATATAAATACATAGCTTACTTAGAACTCACTTTTACACATGATTTCTTTAATGTAGTTCTTATAGTCTATGGTGAACAGCATTGACATACTTTTTTTTTTTTTTAAATAACATTAACTCTTTTTATCTTTCCAAGGAACTAGGATATATTTTGCAGATCTACAGCTGTAGTGAAAATCTCCCAGTCTCTGTTTAGACGTCTTGTGACGTGATGAGAACTCTAGGAAACTGTGTCCTCTGTACTGTGTCCTTTAGTCCCACCTAGATGATTTTGCTACAATATGTGTTTCTATAAGACAAATCAGTTCCTATGTGATTGGTAAATAAGAGAATTTTGTCCATAAAATGTGGAAGTGGCATCAGCTTACATGTCACTTTTCCTATAAGAAAAGCCCGAAAAACAGGAATAGAAGTAGCAGTCTTAAGAAGTACAGGAAAAAAAAAAAAAAACCCTCAATGTGACTGCTTCAGTGGCAGCAACTGCCTTAACAGCACTCTTCAGCAAAAACTGAAAAAGAACAGCTGCACCCAGCACTGACTTCACAGGGAGGTGCCCCAGCTCCTGGCAAGTTGTGCTTTATTCTGTGCCTACTTTTAAGGAAGCCTTATGGTAAAGAGCTCCATTTCCAGCTGTCTCAGTATACATTGTTCCTTCTTCTTCTTCTTCTTTTTTTTTAAAATAATATTTTACTGTGTTTTTGATGAAAGTTTAAACAAGAAATTAGGTTCCCATTTAACAATTTCTTTAAATATTGTTCATTGACATTAGTTACATTTTTCAGTGTGTCAGCATTCTCATTGTTTCCATTCTGGTTGTTCTGTTTCCATTGATCTAGCTTCCCTGCTCCTGTTTAGCTTCTCATCTTTGCTTTAGGGTAAATGATGGCTATTTGGTGTCATGTAGATGATTTTTTTTAAAGGAACACAGTACTCATGAGTGATATTGTTTATTTTATGGGCCAAATATTTAGTTGAAAGGTGACCTCCAGGTGTGGTTTCAGTTCCAAGTTGAAAGGGTGTCTCAGGGAGATAGTCTCGGGGCTTCCTTTAGTCTCTACTGGTGTGGTAAGTCTGGCCTCTTTTAAGAGTTTGAGTTTTGTTCTACATTTTTCTCCCATCCTATCCAGGACGATCTATTGTGCCTATGGTCAGAATGATTGGTAGTGGTAGCCTGGCACCATCTAGTTCTTCTGGTCTCAGGATAGATGAGGCTGTGGTTTGTGTGTGCTGTTAGTCCTATAGACCAGATTCTTCTTTGAGTCTTTGGTTTCCTTCTTGTGCTCCAGATAAGTAGAGACCAATAGTTGTATCTTAGATGGCCGCTCACAAGCTTTTAAGACCCCAGTCGCTACTCACCAAACTAGGTTGCAGAATATAAACTTTATGAACTATGTTATGCCAGTTGACTGAGTTGTCCCACAAGACTGTGGTCCTAAGCCTTCAAACCCAGTAAACCATTCCCACGAGGTGTTTGTCTATGTCTAGGAAGTATGTGCTTTATTATACATATGGACATATAGGCAGCACACACAAACATGCATATACCTACAGATAAACCTATACATGCACACATACATACACATGTATTTCTTCCTATACACATATATGCATTCATATCTACCTATGTAAATTTACACACATTTTTTTTTGTTTGCTATTGCTATTGTTACAAAATTGTGTATTATAGTATTACCAAAAACGTCTCTTATTCTTATGTACTTCTTAGTGTCATAATTTACCGTGGTCAAATTGTGCATACTTCACCCACATTTAGTATTGCAGTTCCCATCACCAAAAATAACAAGTGTCTACTATCTAGAGAGTGATCCCCCCTCCATTGTTTCTCCTTCAATTAAAGTGTCACCTGCAATCCCACTCTGTAGTTGTTGTGCATTTTATCTATCTTTGGAGGTTTTAATTACAAATCAGAGAGGTCTGACATGTTCTGCACCTTGTACTGTTTTTTACCAAAACCTTCTCCCTCTTTAATTTTAGTGTGAGATTTTGCAGAACTCAAAATTGGTTAGGAAGGCTTATATCGTACTAAACAAGAATGTCTATCCATCTCTGCCTGTATCTGCCTAGGCCTGCAATAAGGCTGTCGGGATTGCAGAACTCCAGGGCACTCCATTCATATAAACCATGATGGGAATTGTGACCCTGGAGTTTCTTGGTACCTAAGTAATACAGGTGTTTACACAGTTTTTAAAGTTAAAGGCTTTTAATCACAAAGGGCAGTGCTGTTCCCCAGTCCAGCAGGTGTAGGGGTATACAGTCATCTGGTAGGAGGAGTTTAGGAGAGGGTCCTCAGCCAATCCTGTCATTTCAGTCTCATACCACAACACCAATATCTGAAATTCTCTTTGGTTTAGGGAATTAGCCTACTTTTTGTTGGCATCTGTAAGCCCCCTACCAACAGTTTTAGGTTTGGCTAGATTTTTTAAACTCGTGACTCAAGTGGGCCTTCATGGCACTAATTTGCCCATCTTTGTGAAGTGGTGCTGTGTAGGAAACAAGGCAGGGAACAGAGCTGTCTCTTCAGGGGGTGAGTTCACATTACTATAGGGCCTTTTTTGTACACCTTCTCTCTGCCCCCATGACAGCTCAGGGCTGAGGGAAGGAGAACACAGGCTGAGGGAAGGTAGTGCGTTAGCCATCCTTTAAGAAGGCTCAAGCTGTAAAAACAACCTGCTCTTGTAACAACTCAAGAGTATTTAGCTGCCAGGTCCCAGCTAGGGGAGCATCCAGTTAGGAATTAAACTGCTTTGAAGAAAGGCTCAGGATTTATATAGTTCATTCACAGTTCTTCCAGTCTGGTTGTAGTTTACCAATCAAGAGTTATTTTTACTATAAGCAGTGTTGCCTGGTAAACAGCTGAAATTTCATCTTTTTAAGGTTTCCAGGGAAACAGACCTAGGAGAAGTTGAAGCCAAGGTCACAGGGTCCCATTGTCTTTTCTTTGGCTGCTTAGCAGATGTAAAAACCTAAAACTTTTTCTTTCTGCTTTTTGTCATCTAAAATTTTTTTGTTTTTTTTTGTCTATTTTTTTCTTTTGTTTTTGACTGAGCATTTTAAGGAAAAAATGTTTTTATTGTTATTTTAGATTTCAGGAGGAAGTAGCTATGTGTGTGTCTTCAGTTAACCGTATGTAATGGAAAGTTCCAAGAAATGTTATTGAATATCTACCAGATTAGTATGCAATATATGTCATCATATAGCTCTCTTTAAAAATTGATGCTATGTAAGTGCTTTCACCTAGAAAAGCAAAATGCAATGTGATGGGTGAAACAAAGACCTCATTCCTACGCGTTACTGAAAGAACATAATAAGGTATTATTTTTCAACATTCAGCATTCAATGAGTGTTTAGTACATCTGTATTTATGGAAGAGGACTCAATTTTGTATTAAATAGTTGTGACCTGAAATGGTTAACTAAAAATTAATGCAAGCTAATAAAAGATAATTGCAATATTATAATTGTATGTGTTTTGAGCTCCTTTAGTATTATTTTTCAAAGGAAAATTGATGAGAATGGTGTTTGAATCCTTGCCATTTATATTATTTTGCAGGTGCATTTCTTTGATTACAATTCAGTACCTTTCGGTGAGAAAATGGAAAACCTAATGTGGATTAGGGAATTTGCAAAGGAAGTGAAAAAAAGAAATATTTTATTATGTGGCCTTCTCATCTACTACCCACAGGTAGGTAAATGTTTTTTTGCAGATCGTATGTTCTGTAGAGTACAGTCTTAATGGTGGGGACCTGATTTTTTCAACAATAAAGGGACACTAATGATAAGGAAAATTTTGTCTGGAAAGTTACTCACTTATTCATGCAATGGGTAGAATCTCTTGACTGTAGGGGAAAAATAAAAAAAGAAAAGTGTTCTAATTAGGAAAAAAGGATGAATATTGGCAGATACCTCATACAAGGTACGTTTTGCATCCTGTGTAGGGTCACCAGATTAAACAAATAAAAATATAAGATGCCCAGTTCAATTTGAATTTCATATAAACAACAAGATTTTTTTTATTGTTAAGTATATCCCAAATTTGGAATTTGACATTCAAATTTAACTGAAGGTGCTATATTTTAACTGGCAACCCTATGATCACAACTCTTGTTCAGTTGTGTAATTTGAAATTGCCTACTTCTTTTTGTTATATTTAAGATGTTGGTGGTCAAGTTCTGTCCTCCCCCCACCCCCCTGTAGGTTATTTAATTACTTGGAAGCAATGCCTGGCATTTGGATAAAAAAAGGGCATGGTACTTAACTAGAGGAAAACCAGTTATTGTCATTGCCTTCAATAGCAAAATTAGTTAAGCCGGAGGCAAAATGAGTTAGCATTATAGATTCTTTGTACAAGAAATGCTATTTAAAACAAACCATTTGGAGAATCTGTGAGAGAAGATGGGTTTGCCCCTTGAGCATAGATAGCTTTCATCAGGTTTGCAGACTGCTCTGCAGTTTTATAGCGGTATCGTGCAGGAGCCAAGCAAGTTAAACAGTCAACCGCTTTTTTAATGGTCTGGAATAAAAGTGATTTGGTGGCGACTGTTCAGAGAAGAGCAGGTATTTAAATTTATGTATGGGTGATGAATCACAGCTATTGTTTATGAAATATGTAAGTTGCATGTTTAGCCTGCAAGTAACAATATTTCAGTTTAAGCAAATGGATTTTAATTATATGTAAGGACCATCTTGTAGCTAGTCCCTGGGTTTTCCTTAATTTTGAAGTTATTTCCTCTGTTTCCAAAATATACTAGTGTGAACTCACAGTAGTCATCAAGAACAAGGCAAATTTCAGTTTACTTAGTATTATGGAATTATAAAATATTAGTGCTTAAAGGCTACTGAATTTAACACAACCATCGCTCAAAGAGATACATATACTTGCCTGAGGACAAATAACTGGCAGTGTAATAATAAGAACTCAGGCTGACATCCTAGTGCAGAAACCATTCCTCTTCAATAAGTTGCCCATTTAGTTGTACTCCAGACTATCATGGTGGGAAAAAAAATTGTTTCTTGTGCTATGCAAAGGAGTCATAGATGCACACTAGGGGCAACACACTGTAAAGATATAAGGTAGAACTTATAGAGGAAAATCTTAAGCAGTGAAGTGGAAGAGCACACTCATTGCTGGAACTCTGTGTCCCACGAGCTGGGTCAGGCGGCTGTCTGCATGCATCATAGCTTATGTTTCTGTAGAGAATAGTGCTGTCAGGAGAAATACAGGATGCTGTTAAATTTGGATTTCAGGTAATCAATGAATAATTTTTTTTACTGTAAGTATGTCCCATAATGCTCTACATATTTAAGGGGTGGGCTCCAGTTAATATCTGTGTGACTCTGCATCTGTGAAAGCTCCCTGATTGGAAAAGTGGCCTTGTAGAAAAGGAGGAGCCTTTGGACCCCACAGACTGGTACCCAGATGTTCTTATTTTGAGCTAACTCCAACTTGCTAAACCTGCTCTCTGCTGTTCACCAAAGCTGTGAGGAGGTGAGCCTGCAAGTGCTGTAAGATATGTCTCTCATCATTTTAGGAAGCAAATGATGGTTTACAGAGGTGTATTTTGCCTATTCTTAATAGTATATTAGTGAAGATGTTTCAAATATGTGAGAATGTATAACAAAGAGGACATATTTTTCCCCTCAAAGATAGTTTGTTGATGCTTACTAGCCTAGCACTCTGTCCAGTGCTTAATTCTATCTAAAAGAGCGTTTACCAGAGAATCCTGGCATGTTCATCTGGTATGTGATTAAAAAAGGGGCTATGGTTAAAAAGTTTGGGGAACATCAGTGTTTCACAAACAGACTTACATTTCCCAACAGACTTCTTTAATTTGAAGGCTTCTCACAAATTCTTAACATACTAATGAGCACTTCCCATCTCCAGATTAGGAACAAGGGGTATACCATTTCCCATTTGTTCTTATAACCCTTTAACCATGGGACAGTTCATGAGACTAATGTTTCCTAGTAGACACTTTGGGAAATATTCCTCCCTAATATACCCTATGTAAAGAAATCACTACCCTCTAGAGGCAGTCTTTTTAAACTTCAAAAATAATATCTTCATTTCATTAAATCACTTTCTCTAATGTTGATGGCCTGTGTGGCTAGGCTTTCTGTCAGCACTAAGGATAAATAAGACGTAGGAGGTGCCTAGTGGGAAAGGCTGACCTGTGAAAAGAGTGTTGGTTTGTGCTTTCCATAGTGCTGCATGATATGGTTTTTGTAGCGTTCCTACATTGGGCTTTGTGTCTTAAGTTTAATCCTTTTTCTCTGTGATAGCCAGTAGTGTGTTTTCATTATTGTGTATCATTTTAAGTCTCTAATCAATGAAGCCTTTTTATTTTTTTAACCATTCTTCATATGGCATACTATCAAGTATTTCTTCTCTGGATAGACTTCTAGTTTTTTTATAGCTCCTCCTTAGAGCGTATATTGAACTGACTTCAGTATTTGTGCTATATGTGTAGTCTTTCTGGCTTAAAGAAGACCTGCCTTAAATATGACATTCTGCTAAGGTAGATGCTTTTTGATTTTTTGGGGCCACACCTTCATAGTATTGACTTATGTGAGGTTTATAGTTAAATAGAATTACTTGAACCTTTTAAAAAAAATGTTTAACACATTATGCTGTTAAGCACTTATTTGTGTTTGTGTAGAGTTATTTTAGACATGTGTAGGACTTTCTAATGTACTTGGAGAGTTTAAATTTATTAGTTTTATTCTACTATTTCAGTCTTTGCTGTGTTTTTGGATCCAGAATATGGCATGAAAGTATTAATCCTAATTTCTAGCCTCATATAAATTAGATATCTGCAAATTAAATATTGTCTATATTTTACATGCACCTTTGGGAGAAAATTGATTTTGAAATGACTGAGGACTGATTCCCTTCTCTAATATCAATAAATGTTCTATATTATTGTTAGTGATCAATTATTTATTCTTTGATAATTCAATCAGTGACAAATACATCTAACTATTATCTTTCAGTTTAGGTTCTCCATATTTTCTTTAACAATATCATAAGAGGCTTTGTCAGATGCTTTGCTGAACTCCAGTTATGCCCTATATGTATGCATTTTTTTTCAGATTGCAGAGATATAATTTGCAAATTTGCTTGGTTCCTTAGCTGTAATATGGGAAAACACTAATTTCTTTTTTCCTAAACTGATTTTAAAGTAGTCTAATGACTTCAAAGAGGAAATTAATCATTTAAAATGTTCTCTGTGGATAGCTTAAGCTGGACTCTTAGATCGTGATACTAGCTTGGCCATTTATATGAGGTTTTGTGACTACTATCTAAAGCTCAGTTTCTCACATTGTGAGTGAATTAGGAAAGATCTGAAATTTAGAAAAGACCAGAGGTGCAGCATGAATGATGTTTATCTTCACAGTTTGTTGAATGAATTCAAATCAGGACCTAATCCTCTTTCTAAAATATCCATATCTAGGAATAATCCAAAATAAAAAAAACCAAACCTGTTGCTGTTGAGTTGATTCTGACTCATAGCAACCCTAAAGGATGAGTAGAACTGCCCCATAGGGTTTCCAAGGAGTACCTGGTGGATTTGAACTGCCGACCTTTTGGTTAGCAGCTGTAGCTCTTAACCACTATGCCACCAGGTTTACCTAGGAATAATAAAAAACAGATTTTATAGTTTAATACACATATAGTATCTTAATCCTTTTTTAAGTATTGTTTTAAATACTTGTGTGTATAAAATATAGCTCTTCATTCATCATTGTTAATCCAATTTTGCTATGCAAGTCATCACTAAAGCCATGGTATAAAATCATATGTTTGAGTAGTGCCTTAGTTTTCTAGTGCTGCTATAACAGAAATACCACAAGTGGATGGCTTTAACAAACAGAAATGTATTCTCTCACAGTCTAGGAGGCTAGAAGTCCAAATTTAGGGCACCAGCTCCAGGGGAAGGCTTTCTCTGTCTGGCAGCTCTGGGAGAAGCTCCTTGTCATCAATCTTCCCCTGGTCTAGGAGCTTCTCAGCACAGGAACCGCAGGTCCAAAAGATGCACTCTGCTCCTGGCTCTTCTTGCTTAGTGGTAATGAGGTCCATCTGTCTCTCTGCTCAGATCTCTTTTATGTGTCAAAAGAGATTGATTCAAGATATAACCTAACCCTTTAGATTGTGTCCTGCCTCATTAATATAACTGCCTCTAATCCTGCCTCATTACCATCATAGAGATTAGGATTTACAACGCGTAGGATAATTACATCAGATCACAAAATGGAGTACAGTCACACAACATTGGGAATAATGGCCTAGCCAAGTTGACACTTATTTTGGGGGTAAACAATTCAATCCATAACAGGGAGCATGTTCTAATTATCTGAAAATCTGTGTCTAACAATATAGCAGTGAATTTATGAAGACTTAATATTTCTGACATGAATGGTTCAAGCCAATAGTTTAGAGTTTGCATTCTTAATTTTGTGGACATCTAAAATATTTTTATGGGGATTTCGTTTTTAATGCAAATATTTGCAAATTTACATTTTTAAAATAAAAATTTGCACGAGAACTTTTATGATAATAAAATTATGAAGTATATAAAAACTTAGCATTTGTCTGCTGACACTCATTTATAATTTTTTCCAGTGCCCTCCTACTTTCAATTTATTGCCCCCTTCTTCATTCATCTCTAACTCTGTCCTGGCAAA